GGCAAGTTTTAAGGGCAAAGGTAAGAAATAATATATAAATAATAATAATAATGATAATATTAACTAAAAATATACTGAAAAGAAAGAAGCAGAAATTCAATGATAAATATGATGACGACAGTTTTACAATACATAACCTAATGAAACCAAACACTTCAACAACAATACAACCACCGAAACTGATGAAAAAGGGCATACCGAGAGAATTTGTTGACATTGCAACCAACACAGATACTATTGCTACAGCAACCAGAGAGACTGACGAAAAGTTATACAATGATGCAAATCAACAATTAAATATGACATTTGAAGCATTTAAGGTCAGGGAAAACCAGGACAATATGTTTCAAATAATGCTTAAAAACTTTTGGCGCAACACATACAAAAGAAATGAACCAACAAGAGCACAGGCAACACAAACATTGAAAAACCAACGCGATGCAATGGTGTCAGCCTTTACTAAAATGCTTGACAACAACAAACCGCCAGAACCACCGCCAAAGAAACCACCAGATGAGGATGACAGCGATGAAGAAGAAAAGAAGTTCAAACTGACAAAAATGATAGAAATAATGCTACACAACGGAGCTACAGTAGCAGATATAATATTAAACTTATCACACAGCACAATTGCAACAACAATAAATATCGCAGATTTAGTTAATCAGATAACAGCAGGAAATGCACAAAGTAGCAGTAGCAATTCATCAAATGAAGCTATTAGTGTTCATAGTTCTCCACCTATTACTGTTCATAGTTCTTCATCTGAAAGTCCAACAGAAATACCAGCACCAACTGAAGATGAAGAAGAAGAAGAAAACCAACATTTCAATTTTGAAAAATTAAAATCTAAATAATATTATATATAATGGGTTCAAGTAAATCAAAACCAGTAGAAATTGATGACGAAGAGGCTATTAAAGTAATAAAAGATATAGATGTAAATACGATAAGTGAAATGTCAAGAATTGATATTCTACAAATAAATTCATTGAAAGCAATAATCAATAAATTAGAAAAAGTTAATGAATGTAAAAAAGATAAAATATATTATAAATTACCTGCTTTGAATCTATGTAGTTATTCTTTATTTTGAATTAATAACATTAAGCCATGGCTTAATGCTATTAATTGCTATCATAATCTGTCATTTCACTTTTTGGCGTTGATGTTGAAACAGTGCTATTTGTTTCATCTATTAAATCGTCGCGAAGCTCGCGAGCCTCTGGCGAAGCGTCTTCATCAACAAAATTATTTTGAAATCTTAATAATTCCTCGTCCGTTGCCCTCCTCTTCAATGCCTTATAAAGTTTATGTATCCAAGAATTAGTATGAAAATTATAATTACCTCTACGATACAATCCACCACATCTACATAGTTTCATTGGCATATTATTATATTATATTAAGTTAGAATATCTTTATTCATCATTTGTAATTTGAAATGCCTGTTCAAAATTGATATGAAACATTTTGTTAATGTCTTTTGAATTCATATTCACGTAGAAAAAAGAATATGGAGCAAAATTCACTGCTTGATGATACATATCTAATAATTGCTGTTTGTCAACAATGGCGCTATTTTCTTCAATAAAACTCATTAATTCACTGGCATTTTTCAACCTAAAAATATATAATGAACTGGCATTTAAACGAATGATAGGCGCTAAAACATTATATTTTTGTGTTGAACAAATTACACTTACTGCATCGTGCCTGCCTCTTGTAAATAATCCATGTAATAATTTACTATATCTAACAAATTTAGGGTCGTCTGCGTGGTCATCTATAACGATTAATATTGAATGTAGTTTCTTTATCTTTTTAGATTTCATATAATTAATTATTTTCTTCTGTCTTTCAATTACATTTTCTAAATCACTTGGATTATAATTATCAAAATAAATTTGTTCTTTTTCATCATCCACGTGCAATTCATCCCTGATATATTTTTTAACTTCTGTAAAAGTTGGGTCGTTATGGACGCTGGGTGAAAATATAAATATTCTTGCGAATGAATTTCTATAAACATTCAATATTAAATTTTGAATAAGGACAGTCTTCCCGCCTGTCGAAGAAGCAACTATAATACTTCTAAATGGTAATTTTGGCACGTGCTCATATTTAGATTGTTTGAATTCATATTCAGTTATGTTTATTGGTTTTATTATTGGAACATCTGTCATATAGTTGATATTAAAGAAATATAGAAAATTATATTTAAAAATTAACTTGTAATTAATATTAAATGGAACATCATTATGTTATGAGTGGCGGTGAATAACATAATGGAACAGGTTGTCGCGAAGCTTCGCGAGGCATCGCCGATGCGTCCATTGCTTCAATCAGTAAGCATTGAAGCTAATTAGTTTGTATCTCTCTCGCGTGTGCAATGAAAACCCCAAGTGCTGTGCCCCACCAATATTCTATTATGCATGAAAATAATAAGATTAAATAATTTAAATAATTATTTTATCTTATTATTATATGACTGTTATCCATTGCAATTGTTGTAAAACTTATGATGACAAATATTTATTTAAACATCTAAATTCAAAATATCATCAGAAATTTGTAGAATATAGATGGAATAAAGACGATACAATGAAAAAGCTTTACAAGAAGAGAAAGGCAGAAATGAAAAATAATTTATCTTATTATTTAATATGAAAAGGAGTTATACAGATTATATTAATATAATAGATGAAGTAGAAAATATAGAACAAGTAATAATTACTGACAATAAAATAAAAAATGTTGTTATTATTCATTAGAAATAATTAAGTTAGGAATTCAATATCTCAAAAATAAAAATGTAAATATTAATATAAATGGGAAAAAAGAAAAAGAGTAAAGGCAAAGAAAGACCAACACCAGATATTGAAGCACGGAAAGAAACAGCAGAAAGTGTTAAATCAATGGGTGAAAGTAAGACTATAAAATGTGATAAATGTAATCACATAATGAATTTTAAAAATGAATTGACAGTAGATAAGAAAGGTGGAGTTAAAGTTAGTTGTGTCCCATGTATGTTTTCTTATAAAAAAACAGATAAATATTTTAATATTCAGAAAAGAACAGATGGCGATATGGTTATTGAAACTAACGAACATTTGATTAATGTTAGTTTTAACAGGGACATAAGTTAGTATTTAAAGAGTAGATTTAACATAAATGCACTTTATAAATATATAATTAAATAAATAATTATCTAAATAAATATATAGTAATGTCTGAAAATGAGAATTATACTATTAATGATTTAATGAAGAAGATAACATTAATTGGTAAAAATATCAAAAACTTAAATGATATGATTAAATCCATTGATGACAAAATAAAACCAGTTGAACGCGAACAACAAAGCAACGAAGAGAAGGAGAAAATCGAAAAGATATTTCAAGCAAAATCTATAGGAAGACCATCGGGCGACTACCCGACAAAGCAAAAGAAATACTGTGATATGTTGAATACAGGAAAAATCAAACAACCAAAGCAACAAACATTAGAGTTTTATAAAATTACAAAAAATGATGATGAAGTATATGTATTATTTGAATAATTAATATCTAAATAATTCTAATAAATGAATTTATTAGAATTATTTAGCGGAACAAAAAGCGTCGGAACCATAGCAAAGTCGCTTGGATTTAATGTAATATCATTAGACTTGAAAAATGCTGATATCAACACTGATATTTTGGAGTGGGATTACAAACAGTTTGACAGAAACCATTTTGATTTTATTTGGAGTAGTCCCCCATGCACTGAATATAGTGTAGCAAAAACTAGGGGAATTAGGAATATCGAATATGCAAATAGTATTGTCTTAAAAACTATTGAGATTATCAAATATTTCAATCCTAAATATTTTGTAATCGAAAATCCACAAACTGGATTATTAAAACATCAGGAGTTTATGGATGAGTTTGATTTTAAAGATGTTGATTATTGTAAATATGGAATGCCTTACAGAAAACGCACTAGGCTCTGGAATAACATTACAACTTGGAAACCTAGAGAATTATGTAAAAAGGATTGTGGCAACATCAGGAATAATAAACATATTGAAACCGCACAGAGACTGCCATCGGGCACCAAGGAAAATTGGGGAGACAATCCAACAATACATAAACAGGAAGATTTATATAAAATACCTAGCGAATTAATTTGTGAAATCTTGGTGAGTTTGACGGATTAAGGATTAACATAGCTTGATTTTTGGATTAACATAGCTTGATTTTTGGATTAACATAGCTTGATTTTTGGATTAACATGGCTTGATTTTTGGATTAACATGGCTTGATTTTTGGATTAACATGGCTTGTGAAATGTGGTGCTATAATTCTTAATCATACTATAATAATAACATTTATACCCTTATATGTTATAATTATAATGTAAGTATAGCGTTTTATATATTGAAGATAAAATCCTACAAGGAGGATGCGAGCGTTAGCGAAGCTCGCAAGCTATGCGACCACGCCTAAAAATATATGATGAAACTGATGAAACGAAGGAGGAGAGTGATGTTGTTGCTGTTCTATTTTTTGTCCGGGAAATGGACAAATCGTTTTTAGACAGTTCGAATATTTTTTTGATGACAAATATTTTTTGCAATATATTTTGCAAAATTTATTTTTTTGAAATGGATGAGGCGAGGAGATTGAGGAAATGACATTTTGGAGGGTAGTTGGTGAAATGAATGAGGCGAGGAGAAAGGAGAAAAGGATGGCGAAAATTTTGGAAAAATGATGATAAAAAAACGGATGAGATGGACAGAAAGGAATGTAGAAAAATGATGAAAACAAATAAGGGTAGAAGATGGAAGATGAAAAAAAATGTAGGGTGGGGGGTATGTATGAAAGCAATTTATTGCTAGGCAAGGCCCCCCACTACTGGTTCCAGGTGGTTCCAGGTGGTTCCAGGTAGGTCCCTAGGGTTTTTTGGCCTTTCACCCAGCTGCTCAGGGGCTGCTCCCCCACGTTTTTTCGCGCCAGGAGTGCATCTCCAGCTGGGCGCGGGCGGGGCTTCACGCGCCCATGGCGCCCGAGAGCCCCCGCCTGCGCCTGCTGCGGAAGGCCCAGGGCGCATGGGTGGGATTTTGGTTCTTCGGAGGTTGCACGAGGTGGCACCCATGGTTAAGAGACCAGCTCCTCCACCCCCCCCCCCCCCCGTTATTTTCGGTGACTGAAGTGAATCTTTGCCTGATTTGCCCCTGTCATGATCACCTTTTGTTGGATTGGTTGGCTTTGGGTTGGGTTCTGTCACAATGTTTGGAGACAGTTGAGTGAAAGTCGATGGCAATTTGGTCATTCTCGTTTGTAAAGGGAAACAAATCACATGGGCAATGTCAAAAGACCGGTTCCTTTGGTTCCATTTGCTGGATTGAATATGTCTTATTTGCCATTTTTGGTTTCAAAGGGCAGCCATGGTCACAAGTTTTGGAGAGACATGCATTTGGAGACACGCTCATTGACAGTTGGGTGAAAGTAGATGGCACGATTCCTCCACTTGGGTTTGGTAATTCCCTTTTGTAAAGTTGTAAAGGGAATTGTCTACGGAAACTGTCATATGAAAACCGGTTCCTTTACTCGGGTTTTGCCAGGGATGGTCATCCTGGTCAGGATCCTTAACCATTGTAATGATTCCCATAAACGGAACCATGACCCAATCGGCCATGTAAGAAGTTTTGACCATGGCTCATGTGGGTGGTGATACCCGTCTTCTTTTGAAACTTTGGGTGGTTCTAAAGGGAAACCGCAAGGAAAACCAAAATCCATTGTTGGTGTGCCCCCAAAAAGACACCGTGCCTGGTGGTGATTCTTTGTTAGGTACCCTTTTCTTGACTTGATGTGAAAGGGAAAGGGAAACCACTGTGATCCATCGTGTGGGTTTTGACACATACTCACGTGCGTTTGTTTTTCAAAATCAGGACGTCAAGGCGGTTGGCTTCCTTTTGCTTTCCCTTTAGCGCCATCCAAAGGTGGGTTCCGCAGTCTGAGACGGATCCATGCGGTTCGCAAAATAGAGGGGCCGCCCAACAAAGATTGGTGTCCCGTTTGTTTTCTCTGACCAAGCTGAAAATGGTACCGAGCACAACAAACACCCACCCGGCTCAAGCATTTAGACCCGTCCCGACCCCCTAAAAGGGATGAACAGGAGCTTGCTGAAGCAGGAGTTCTTCAAATGAAGCAATAGGGTGAGCTGCCCATGCAACTTGTTAGAGATCCCCACCCCCTCAAAAATGGAATTGGGGAGGGGGGTGAATTCTGGAATTCCATGTGTGGTTCCATTTTCCCTATGGGGATTGATACATGGAATTGGGGAAATTTCCACCTTTTGGGGGGATCTGTTTGATCCCTGAGAGTGAAGCCAAGCTCTGCAACCTAAGCATGAGCTGCGCATGTTGCGAGGTGTCGCGCTTCCATGGGATTTGGCTGTGGTTGTCAAAACCGTTTTGGGATCCCATGTGTTTTTTTCTCGGTGAACTCACCACACATTTTTGAAACTATTTTAGTGTGGATTGGGATGTGCACTGGTACGATTTGGCTTTTGACCCATGGCCATTCGTCTGCCAGGTGCACAGATCTGCGGCTGTTCGAGCGTCTGGGTAGTTGCACGAACGCCAAACGATCTGCATGAGGCTTCTGCCAAGTTCGGTGCGCGAACTTGAACCCGAAGGGTCTATGGGTGTTCCTTTTTTGGAGTTGGTGCCCCGGTTCGTTAGGTTTCAAAGGGAAACCAAAAGGAACTCAACTCATTTTGGAGGTTTCCCTTAAAATATGGCACACCCCTATATATATATATATATATGTCTCTCGCATTATTTCTTCCGTCAGTGCATTGGACCTAGCACCCAGTGCTCCTACAGGCCAATAAAGAGGTGTCAAAGTTACCCAATGTTGACTGGGTTCGCGAAAATGTTACCTTTGGATGGTTGTGAGCACTCCTTGCGCCAATTCAAATTGAGTTTCCATTTGGTGAGGGGAAATTCGGGAACCCTGTTTGCTATGTGGTGTTTCGGCTTTGCCTAGCCTTTATTGTTTGCCAGAAACCTCTGCGGCAATCAGTGCACCTGAATTCGCTGCACAAAAGCAGTGGACAGTTTCTTTATCTCGGCCATCACTTTCGATGGCCAGAAAAGCAAGACACTTTGAGCCGAACTGGGCAACACCCTCCCGATGTTCATCCAACATGGTTCTGTGATGTCTGTAGCTTTCTGGGGCTGCACCGGTGAATAGTACACTCAGCTACGTTGTCTACTGGCTAGCTGCCGGCATTTGCTTTGGGGTCAAGACAATCCAGGATGAGCTGGAGCAGACCGTATGTCAGGGCTTCCACCATTTTTGTTGGAGCCACCAAAAGTGGCGATCGGTTTAATTAAAACCACCAGTAAGTTGATGTCTTTTGATTTGGACAAATCCAGTGACCCCTTCTGTGTTACCTTAAGTTGGTCCCATTGTTCCCACCCACCGGTAACGCCATTCCAACTTTTGCCGAAGCCCCCCTCAAAAACCATCCTAGGGAGGCAAGACCTGGAAAAAAGCTGCAGGTGTCCTTTTTGGTTGTGGTAGCGATTCTGGTTGACCTGGTTGTTTCAGGATCCATCATTTATGTTCACCGAAAAGGCCTATGCTGTTTGGTGTAATTTTGCAAAGACTGTTCGCAAGAAACCGGTTTGGATGTGGCTTTTGCGGAATCACCTGTAGGATATTAAAGGAGTTTTTACAAGAGTACTAAACAAGAACCCACAGGGGGAAAAACAGATGAAATCCACCAACAGCGCGCGAATCCGAGGGGTTAACTACCTACATTCTCCATGACTCTTAAAAAATGGGTCCATGACCCCTTAATTTTGGGTATGACCCCATTTTTGAAGGGTCATGGAGACTCCAGGTAGATGTTCCTTTCACGCCCAGAACCTAACAACAGCGCATTGGCTCCAGGTGATGGCCGACGTCCGACTGCTCCCCCAAGGGGAGCGAGCAGAGGCTGCCGAAGACCACTGGCAATATGTGTAACCCATCCTGTCGGTTCTTAGGAAGGCCCTTACGGTCCCATTAAGTACGTCCTTTGCCTCACTGTTCTTGGCAAGCTTTTTTGTTTGTATTGTTCATTTTTAGTCAGGGTTCTGGGATCACAAGGGGTTTATCCCCACTTCTGTGATACTTTTGGGAATCTCCCCGATTGTATGGAGGGTTCGTCATTTCCCACAGCCCTGTTCATTCGTGGGTTGCAACAATAACACATATGCTTTGCTATGCCATTCCACGGGTAGATCTTCGTCCGCCTTTCGGGCTTGCAGCTTAAAAAAATTGCCGCCCACAAGTCGCGGCTCGCGGCGGCGAAGGAGGGCTGGCCGTCCCAACGAAACGGAAGCGATGATCTTTTTTGAGTTGGTACCCTTTACAGGTTGGCTCACTTCCTGAGTTGATGGACTTTAAACTTTTTGGAAAGACCATTTTAGTGGTTAATATAAAGTTTGGACGTTTTTTTGGGCCATCCACTCAGCCAGTGAGTTGCAGGTTGGCGTAAAGGGGAAAAGGAGACCATTTGGAGCATAGGTGTCCTTTTTGGTTGATTTGGTTGAAAAATCGAGGGCGATTCCGGGTTTATCTGGTGGTTCAATCCACTACCAGGGCCATGTATTTTCCCAAAAGGGACACCTATGATTTAGTCCGATTTTCTGTTCTATGGAGCGGGGAGCAGCTACCCTTCTTTGAAGTAGTCATGGAAGCAAACAGGAGGCCTTTTGAGCTGATGCCCAAAATCCGTTGTTTGTTGGTAGTAAACTTCAAAAAGGATATTCAAAGTAAGTGTTGCTGACGCTTCGAGGAATCCTGCCAATTCGCCAACTGACCACCAAGGGCACCTAATGGACAACCACTTTATGTCCGGCACGTTGCACGGCAACAGATGTCAAGACGCTGTTGCAATGCACTATTCAATGCATAATTAACTCCTCATAGTTTACCCCATGACGAATCGTGGTTTCAAGGTACCCCACGACCTCATTCAGAATGGCCCTTGTATTGACTGGGCTGTTCAAGGGCAACCCGCAATCCTTGCCCCGGGTTACGAAAGGGCTCCCCCTTGTAGTGGGTTCCACAAGAGGAATATGGATTAGGCTTGGCCAAGCCTTCATTTTGTACAGCCCGGATTGACAGCAACAGCTAGATAGATGCAATGTACTGTGCATGGACAGAATTTGGCACCACCTCAGAAACCCTAGAATGATGATTCCCCTATACATACCAACAAACAACGGCTTCCCGTTGTGTCAAAGTGGTGCAGGTTTTCGTCCATCCACAGTATCCCCTCCAACGCGGTCGACTGGGGAGAGCTTTGGGCTGGGACACTGGGACGGCCCGCGCGCAAGAGCTCGGCCGCCAATTCGTGTGCGAAGGCATGCGCGGCATGCGCCGAAAAGACGCGCTTTATCCGCGCCCCCTTGTCTTTGGAGAAAGGTTCCCTCACTCCCTAAGATTCCGCTTCGGACTTTAGTCACTTTTTGGCTCGGACCATGTTACCACTTTTGTTGGTCAATCCAGGAAATGAGTTCCCTTTGGTGTCCTTGTTTCCCACCCACACAAAGGTGCCCTTGATTTTCGAGCTAAGAGGGGCCGAAGATGCCTTATTTTGATTCAACTGAAAGATGATGCAACTTTGACCTCAACGATCTCCGGCAGATTGGAACCGAACCCACGGTGCTACGGAACCATCACCCATGCCAAACGTCGGGACCTGGACAATTCGGCATTCCGGTCCCGGAATGCCGAACTGCGGTCTCTTGCAAGACGCGCAGGCCAATCATTTCGGTCAAAAAGCACCGACTCCACATGGAACCTTACAGCGAATCTCGGAAGGCCGACAAAATGGACGCCCCTCCACATGAAACCTCACAGAAAATCCTGGCAGTCCTACGCCTTGGAACCAGGGAAACCAACTAGGGATACAGAAAAAAGCAGTTGGATACAGGAGGGAAATTGCGTCGAGGGAATCCCCGCCATATCCCCGCTCCCTCCGTATCCCCGCTTGATTGTTTGTCCAAAAAACCAAGTATGTCACGTTTGCGAGCTAAAGCAGACTTGCAGTTTCGGCTTGGCCGCCCCTCAGAGTTCAGTCACGGTGAGCAAGCCACTTGTATTTCTTGTTATCCCGTTCTCCCAGGCGCTTTTCTGATAAGTGACCGGCACGGGGAATTGTAGCAAATACCAAAGTGGGCAAACATAAAGGACCAACAACATGGTTTGTTCTTCGTTCTCATTGTTGGCATTGTGTTTGGTGCTGACTTGGTTGCCTGCTTGACAATGTCACAAGGTTCCCCTAAGCCACAAGAAAAGGGGTGCCAACTCCAAAAAAGACGAGCCACGCGCCACACCATGTAAATCACCTCACGAGAAACACGAGGTGCCCATGGGTTTTTGCAGCCCGTGGGGCTGCCCCCTCAGCCAAATGCCATGCCGAGCTACGCGGAGCTATGGTCCAGGACGGCGGCTGGCGAGGCGGGATCTGGAGCCATCGCTTTGCTAATCGGCGCGCGGATCCGTTGGCATGTGGCCAAGGGAGGTTCGGGCTTTAACCTTTGTGCCAACTAATCTCTTCCCCCTATTAATAAATACGCCCCCCCCCCCCCCCGTGCATTTATTATTAATGGGGGTCATTCATTAATTGGGGGAGGAGATTAATGGGTTTTCCATGACCACTAGAAGTTATTCACTCGTAGCAGGGGAGCAGAGTTGGCTGCAGGGATAACCCACCAACTGAGCGAGAAGCAAAACCCGGGTAGATTTCCAAAGGGATGATTCCCCACTAAACCCAGTGACGCCGACTTACAAGTAGCCTGGGGTTGATGAATCCGAGGTTAACATGATGTGTCACAATAGGAGTACCCAACCATGAGCCACGTCCTCAAAACCGATTTGGGTAGATCAAGGTCAGCAAGGCAGAATCCCCTGGCCATACACGCTGCCTTCGCCGCCTTTTTAATTGACATGTTTCTGGGTGACCTTTTTAATACCGGTCGGTCGGTTTTGAGTATGACTCACAGTGTCCAAAAACACAAATGCACTTGTAGAGGAAACTCCTTTGGGGCTGCATGTTACTTTGTAGAGTAACTCAAGACATAAGCCCCGGATGAAGAGCCTCCTGATTGAGGAGTTGGGTGTGTACCCCTTTTAGTGGAAATCCAGATCACTTTTGTGGGTGACACCTTTGTATAGGGTGACTAAATATATTGCCAGACTGAAGTCTTGCGTCTTCGCCCCTTAACGGCCCTTTTGGGGTTGCTCGTGTTTTTTTGTTTGCCCGTTGTATTGTGGCTTTAAAGGGAATCCAACAGCAACACCCGAGCCCATGTTGGGTGTCCCCTAAGATTCATGGCAATATCTTGGATTCTGGTCCATTTTTGCTCTCCAACAATCAATGAAGCTGACAGGGAGGTTTTGGAAGACGAAAGCTTTCCTTGTGGGCCAGCCTATTGATTTTCTGTCCGCTTCCATGATTGTTGGAAAGAGGGTTGTAGCCTGATCTTGGCCAGAAACATCCGACCCGCTGAAAAAGTTGATTCTTTTTGCTAAGGAAAAAAGGGTGTGCCGTTTTTAAAGTTGGAAGCACCTCCAAGTGGTTTGTGGATATGAATCGGGACCTGGAATTCCGATGTCCACCAGAGCTCGGGTCCCTTCTTAGAATTCACACCCTCTTTGTGTGTTGTTGTTGTTCCCCACCCGACAGGAAGGGGTTGATAGATTTTATGTTGGAATCCGCGTTTGCGATGCTTCTACACCACGCTCCCACCCAGTATCCCGCCAGAGCAGCTCGCCAGTGGATCCCGCCGAGTATCACGCCAGTGGATCCCGCAGAGTATCCCGCCAGAGCTGCTCGCCAGTCAGAGCGGCTCGCCAGTGGATCCCGCCAAGTATCGCCAGTGGATCCCGCCGAGTATCCCGCCAGAGCGGCTCGCCAGTGGATCCCGCCGAGTATCCCGCCAGAGCGGCTCGCCAGTGGATCCCGCCGAGTATCCCGCCAGAGCGGCTCGCCAGTGGATCCCGCCGAGTATCCCGCCAGAGCGGCTCGCCAGTGGATCCCGCCAGTATCCCGCCAGCTGGCCAGTGGATCCCGCCCAGTATCCCGCCAGGCCAGTGGATCCTGCCGAGTATCCGGCTTGCCAGCATTCGCAAGTGAAACCCGCCAGTATCCCGCCAGAGCAGCTCGCCAGTCTGGTTTTGCGTAATGTCCTGCCCGGCGCACAGTTGGGTTTACATTTCATGTTGCCTTCGTGTTGAGCGTGCCCTGAGGCTCGGAAAGGGTGCTGCTTTTGTGTTGCTTTGGGTTGTGAATAAGCAACTTCGTTTAATCCGTCGGGTTTCTTTTTTGGAAGGGGCTTGGCTTTTGTTAACGGAACCGATGTTTGAGTTCTCGAGATTGGCTCGCAGACAAGTGGAGTTTGACACACAGACAGGTGGATAAGGCTCTCAATGCACAGCTTGTTGAGCAGTCATAGGCCCCAAGCCGCTCGAAAACCATGCGTGGATTCACACAACCGTGTTCACGGTCGTAAGCTCGTGAGTGTGGAGGGTGGGTGCTCGAAGCGAAGTATGTTGTTCCGCCCTGACAATTAACAGAGGCTTCATGATATTATTCTGGAAGTGGACATGCCCAAAATGGTGTTAGCAGGGGCTTTGGGGATCGCGCCCTCATTCCTGCTGTCCCCACTACCTGTTGAACTAGTTTTCTTCCATTTACTTCAGATTATGTTTTACTTGCCCCTGTTGGTTTAATGGGAATCTGTCACTGCAGGACATTTAAATACTAGCTCAGTTTTCTTAAAACGCAAATGAAGTTGAAGTTCACAGTCCAGTTTTACCGATCTATCTATCTTAGTTATCTCTATCTACCTATCTATCTATTATCTATCCATTTATCTCTGTCTGTGTATATCATAAATATATATATCTACCGATGCACCTACATGAGCCGAGGGCATTTCTTCTCAGGTGGGCGGCCTCGAGGCAAGGCAAGTGCTGCCTGAGCTGCTGGCTGCGCTGCCGGAGCTGCAAGAGGAGGTTCGGTTTTCAGCTGTTGCCCAGGTTTGGGTTCAGGTGCCACCACTAAAACCAATCGTTGGGTTCATAAAACTACCATTATTTACCCAAGGATTGTCATCATCCAAATTGAATCAACTAAACCCATGGGGATTTGTTTTCTGTGGTTGCCCTTAAAACCAACCAAGAAGGGCGGACCCCAAAGAAGAAGAAGAGTCAAACAAGACACAGCCAACTGAACCCTGGGGTTCAGTTGCCACCGGCGGGGCTCATTGAACGACCATGTACCGTTCAGGATTGTCATCCAAGTTGGGTCCATCCCAAGGCCAGGCCTGGGCTTTCAAGGAACCCGACAAAGCAACTGGAATCCTCGAGGTGACGAGCACAGGTGCAGTGTCAAAGTCCTCACTTCCTTTGAGTCCGTTTCGGACTCACCGTTTTCTTAAGAAACATCACCCCACCAAATGGAAGCTCACTTTGGATTGGCCCAAAAGGTAATGTTAAAAACCCGTCACTTCTGGAGGGTATGGACTTGAGTCACTCTTTGGGAATACCACTTTGGTGGGAAACAAGCAGTTGGGACTTGTGATTGCCAGTCCACCCGATGAGTTTCAAAGAACCAGACAAAATCCTCCAGCAATGGATGTATGGCCCCAGCCCCTACCAAAGGTCGACCATTTTCCGGCCGTTGTGGTCCTAGCTGAAGTGAAGGTCGGGCAGTTCTTTAAACCACGAGGTCAAAAGTTGTAGCCAACACCTGGTCCCCTTGAAAGTTGAAAGGGAGGACTAAACATTGGCTCAAACACGGAACAAGGGTTTGGCCAGCTTAACATGGGGAAGACGCGCATAGACAAAAACTGGAGGTGTGTTTGGTTCGTGTGTGTGTGTGTGTGTGTGTCTGTTTGCGGGGTGGTAGGAACAGTCGTGGGAGTGAACGGCTCACATGATAACATGTTGCTGCATCAACATGACTGGATGGTGTCGTTAATTTCCGTTAAAGTGAATTCCAGAACCCCATGAGCACAATTTAGGCCTTAGATACACTGTAATTGCTTATCGCTTCTCAAAGTGTGCCTTGACTCTGTTGGAATCTCCTCAACACTGTGGTGGAGATGAATTTGCATGTCGATGATGTCTACCAACCCCCCAACTTGAACTCGCCTACACCTAAACAGGCTCCGGGACCCATGTGGCCCAGACCAAGAAACGCTAACCATATGGTGGGACCCGCAGCGAGATCAAATTTGACATTGAAAGCTGCGCCGGAAAGGTCCTTGAAGCAGTTTCCAGTTGAGCAAAGCACCTTGATGGAACCTCATGGGTTGTTTATGTTGGGTGTCCAGAGCCTCAAAGAAAACGGGTTAAAATGGGCTAAATAAGGACAATCTATGAAGTCATGGCTTAACTTCGAAAGTACTCCACAACCCCACTACGAGTTCTCTTGGCTCCCAGCCATCCTCTTGGCGTTTTAGCCTTTTAGCCTTTTAGTGTTTAGTGGTTTCCATTTAACCCACTAAAAGTGAGTCACTTTGAGGGGATCTGAAAACGGGCAGCCCAGTTCTTCAGCCGCTGAAAAGTACCTTTTTGGTTGGGAGGGTTCCCCTAAAGTAGACTACAGAAAAAGGAAACGGTGCCCTTATTCTAGCTTTTCTAATGGAGGATAGTTGGTATTTTGTTTTGGTTCCATGTTGAGCAGCGGCTCGTCTCCGCTAAACCGGGCGCTACTCGGCTGCTCGGTTTCGCCCGGTTTCGCCCAGGATGCTGCCAGCGCGCTGGGCGCTCTCGCGTGCCTGGCGCCCCTGGTGCGAGACGATGCGAGTGCGTGCGAGCTGCAGGCGGCGCGGAAAACTTCCATTTAGCTCAAATGGCGGTGGGTCAAAACAGTTACCATTTTGGGCTAGGTGCACCACCCATTTTGGAACTTAATTTAGTGGGGATTGGGATGTTTGCTGGGGGTACGGGAGTTTGACCCATGGCCAAATGAATATGGTGTTATTTCCCCTTGTTGGTTTTGAAGAGAATCGATTTCACTGCTGGAATGTTTGCTCACTTTTTCCAGCGGGCTTCAGACTGAGTCATGTTGACCACCCCAGTTTATGAATAGGGGGGTTGTTCCCCTCCAAAAGTGGTCTGATTCCCCACTAAGCCCAGGGACCCCCCCCCACTATTAACAAACTGGGTTTGATCAGTATGGGGTCATCATTATGTTTGTCCGGTTTTAAAGGGAATCGATTTCACTACAGGACATAGTTGCTCATTTTTTCCTATTGGGCTTAAGCAAGTGGAAGGAAATGGGCGGGAGAGCGGCGTGGCGAAAATCAATTCCGTATCCCTCACTTGTCCAAAGCGAGTCGACCTTTTGACCCTTTTGTTTCCCTGATATGGAAACCAGATCAAGTTATGACCCCGCAAGATATCGCCGATGGGAAGGCGACGGCGTTTTCTTGGCTGGTTGCCGTTGCTTTTTAGACAAAGGGGAGATCGTAAGGAAGCGGCCTCTTTGGAGGTCTAGGTTTTTTGCGCCCAGGGTAGCCGTTTTACGGTTGGAAATGTTTGGAAGGGAAACCAAAGAGAAACCAAATCACCCATTTCTGGGGTCCCCTGAAAGACACACCCAGATCCGTCCCAGATCTGCATCCTTTTCTTAGGTTTCCTAGTAGTGCCCTTTTGGAAGGTTCCCCGAAAATAGACGTCCTGAAAAAAGTTGGTACCCTTATTCCACCCTCTCTACTGGGTGACTGACACGACCCAGCAGCGCCAGGTCGCGAGCTTTTTGCTGCAGACTTCGTGTCCCCTGACGCCTGGGACTTGGGCGGGTCAGAGGCTGGCTGAAGATGCGCGCGTCAAGAGCCATCCGGTTCCTGAGTTAGCGGTTGAGGGTTTCCATGTAACCCACAGAAAGTTGTAGGTTCCTTTTGTGGGAGGGGATCTGAAAACGGACAGCCCTAGAGGCACAAACATTTGCGCCTAGGTGGTTGGAAGGGAGCCGGAAGGGAGCTGGGGGTATCCAGAGGGAGCCTGACGGAGCCGATCAGTGATGGACAGAAAATCATACTGCGGTTGGTTGCGAAATCCATTTCGCCCCACCGTAAAAGAACCACCCTGGAATGTGATTCCCCAGCAAATACCAACAAACCTTATGGTTTCAACCATGGTTTCATTTCGTGGTGCGGTCTCGGATTTAGCAACCATCCACAGTATTTCCGCGGACCGGTAGGGGGTGATAGCACTTGCGGCCATGGAAACAACGAGCAGGCTCGCGCTTTGGATGCTTGTGGGAGAAAGTTCCATTTGAAGTGAATATTTTATATTTTCCCCTGTTGATTTTAAAGGGAATCTATCACTACTGGACTTGTTTTTTCCCCCGGGGGACTTCAGCAAATGGATGTATCTAATTGGAAGGGTGCCACGCATACTGATGGGTTGATGAGCTCTAAGCTTTACAGGATGCCATCGGGATGCCATCGCGAGTCTAGTCCATTCCCTGGTCCGCAGGCGAAAGGAATGCATTTGATGGGTCGGGGTTCAACATTTCTTCAATCAACTTTGATCCCTTTTAACCAGCAGGGTTTTTTCCATTAGACCTCACTCCCGCAGCTCCTGGAGAAAAAGCTTGAGAGCATTCTAGCGGTAAACAAAACTTGGACTTTTCCTGGCGCTACCTGAATTTTGTACCGAAATTTTGACCAAACGAGCAGTTCCTTCGCGCTCACGGGCTCATCCCATCGGCGTGTTGGGCAGCGCCAAGTTGAGAAGCCCACGTCATGGTTTGTTGTTGGGGAACAAATATATATATATATGTATATATATATGTATATGTATATATATATATATACACATTTTGCTTATGGTGGTGTATTTGGAAGCCCCCACTGAACTAGTAGTGGGGAAGCATTTGACATTTTTGCTTATGGTGGTTTAGTGGGAAACCCCCACTTAACTACTAAAACTGTTCAAAAATTGTGCTCCCCTTCCAACGTCAACCAAGACGTTGTCATAGGGATTTGGAACAAATAGCAACGCGAGGGCTTCTCCTGTTGATTTCTCCAGGAAAGCTCGTTTGGGGTGGTTTGGGGTGAGTTCGGGGAGGGTTGCGGAGGGTTTGAGAGGGTTCCTTAGCTGTTGGGATATCACCTGGGCGTTTTCCCTAGACAAGTGTTGGGTTCCTTAGTTGGTGGCTTTTGAATTGCTGGTCGAGGGTAATGTGATGGGACACCACCAACCCACCAACCCAGCGCACGAAGCACCATCCCAACAGGGAATGGGTCCCCCACAAGAAGATGGGCCACAGCACAGGTTGTGAAGGGAAGTCCGGCAAGTCTGGAGATCAAGTAGAGTTTGGGACACCTTCTAGGTCACCCAGCTAGGCGCCCTTCTCTACCAACTTTTTTGGTTGGGAGAACCGGTTCCAATACTAAAATAGACTGCGGGAAAAAAGCGTGGCCTTATTCTGACCTCTCTACTGGAGGACCTAGCCTTCGGGTTTTAGGTTTTAGTTGGTTTACTGGTTGGGCTTCCATTTACCTCACTAAAAGTTAAACTTTTAGCAGGGGATCTGAGGACAGCTGCTTGGCTTTTTTGCAGGTTTCCCAAAACCAACCAAAAAGGGTTCAGAAACAGAGTTTGAGTGCATCGCTTTTTGGAGGAGACAGCCAATCCGTGGTCAACATTATACAATTGTGTATATGTATACATACATATCAGTGTACACAATTCAGTTCGCCGGGTAGTCAGCTGCTCGTTTGGTCAATTTTTCCGTGCACGCCTGGCCAACCAACCGCACGGAAACTCTCAAGGTTGAAGCACCCGAGGCTGTCGCGGGCTGCGCTCTGTGTGGAGACGATGAGCAGCGAAAGGCCAAGTCGCGAGGCGCGCCGCCAGAATCTCAACGTGGGGTTTGTGTTGGAAGAACCTCGGAATGCTTGGGGTTTCCTTGGCCTCCGTTCACAGGACCTGTCAGGCAAGCAACTTAGGCTTCAACAAAAACCCAAGCTTATGTACCAGGTTTTTGTGGTCAAGCTTGGCTTGTGGATCAAGGGTCAGTCATTTGTACCATAGCGGAAAAGCGTGCAGAAGCCAGAAAGGATGGTTTTAGCTGGACGCCTCACGACACAACACAGACAGGGCAAGGTGCTTAGCAGGTGTACTTCTTTGACACCGGTGCGTGTTCAGAATTAGTTACCTACCCATTGTATGCACATTGCAAGTAGTTTGAATTGCTTTTGCATTTGCATGTAAGAATTGCACACAAGGTCAAGTTGTGATCTTTCAGCAAACAACCCGATCACGTTATGTCATGTTGTCACTGGCCCCTTGTTTTTGTTTTTGCCAATACCGAAATGTTGCAACCGCTGACAGTATGCCGAAACTAGCTTGCACGTATCATTGCTAGTTTGTTTGCCAACGCCTGCTAGTTTGCCAGGCGTCGATTTGAGTGAATTCTCAGTTTATTTGGAACCGTCGGACAACATGGAGCGGCACGAGTGACATACACGCAGGCAAATTAAAAATGGGTGGCAATTCACAACCTCACAGCGGGGGTTTCGACGTCATGACAAAGGTACTGTTCTTGTTTTCTTATGTCAGCTTGGAAGAGCCATTATTGTTCATCATGGAGGGGAGGGAGCTCAAACAAGGCTTTATTCTGGGCTGAAGAGCTAATTTGGGCTCCCTCCCCCTGCCCTCCCTCCCCAGGCCCCATGATTCATCAAGCTGACACTGTGACGCACACTTGCCCTGCCAGGTGTTCCGGCGTTGCGGCGTCGTGCGCGTTTTGGTCACCGCCCTGACATCCGATTCATCGGAGTGCGCCTCGGCGGTTTAGCATGCAGGTGACGGAAAGTGGATCAGATGTGCACAAGGGTGGCTCGATTTTTTTTTGAAATTTATTATTACTTTGGTACCCATTTCTTGGGGTTGGTTTAAAGCGTTTCGGACTTTAAACAGGATCTATCGTGTGCAACTGAAAGCCAGTGGCAGCTATCCTTTCGACTGAGAAACAGGGTTGGCTTTTGAGCGGGAGTCCAACTGTTGCAGCTGGTGACCCAATGCCGAAAACTGGGTGAGTGCAGGAAGGAGGTCGTGGGTTCTTGCATGGTTTTGGGCAGCCTCTACATCCATTTGTTGAAATGATAATTTTGTTTTATTTTCCCCTGCTGGTTTTAAAGGGACCCGATTTCACTACTGGATTGTTTTTTTCCAAGGGGGCTAAAACGCAAATGGAAGTCTATGGTTTGACAATCTGCAATTTCCAGGAAGCTCGGACAAGGGAAGATCCGTATCGCAACTTCCTTAAAGGGTGATATTTAGGTCCCTCCAAAAAATCTAACGCAGCCGCCCACTCCTAATCTTCAAAGGAAAAATACACCTGGCAAAAAACATGTTTTACTATCAAGCTTCTTTTCCAGATTTGGCTGACAAATTCAGTGTTTTTCACTTCTGTGTAGGTCCGGTCATGTGTGACTCCGGCACACGGTTCCCTAATACGACTGGAGAAGAGGTCGATTGGAGAAATCGCTAGTTTAACATTGGTTTAGACTTGGCTTATTCTAATTGAGAATTGGGCCCGCTGAAACTTTCAACATGTTTTGGGGCGGCCTTTACTCGGGGGCAGAGATACATTGAGAGGCACTTGAGTTCCCTGGGCGGAAAACACAAGATGAAGCTGACCTCCAACAAACTGCTGACATGTCGTAGTTTGCCTTCAAGAGCCAAGGCACTTGTCCAGCAAGTTGGGGACCCCCCTCAAAATAGATTTCGTTTTTGGTCCTTTTGGTAGGTCAAACCTTTCCTTCACTGTTCTTGGCAAGTTTGTAGATTGTGAAGTTTTTTGGCTCTGTTCATTTTTAGGTTCGGGGCTGCAAGACAAGAGAACCTTTTGTTTGCAAGCCCATACCAAGGTTTGTGATGCAAACTTTTTGGGCTGCTTCGGGTACCTTTCGCCTCATTTCTTCCATTGGCCTAAGAAACAAAATGATCTTCCCTTGTTGGTTTTAAAGGGAATCGATTTCACTACGGGAAAACATGTCTAGTTTTTCCAGGCGGCGCAAAAGCAAATGAGACCCCCGGTGGAGATTTGACTCAGGTGTGGCAGCCGCCTGCGCCGCGCTGACAGCGCTGAGTGTGGATGAGGACTGCCAGGCAAACGGTTTGTTTTGCGGAGAACATCGCGCTGCGGCGTTTTGTTTTCAAAGGAATGTTGGGCAATGTCAGGGTTGCAACAGGAACTGGGGTTCAAATCCCCCAAACCACCAATCCAAATCACCGATTCAGGGGAAGCTGACAAGTGGTGGTTTGGTGGTTTGGATTTGCATTTGTGTTCTTGTGGAGGGTAATCGGAAACAACCCCTAACCAAACCACTGGGCTCCAAACCACCAATTTGGAAGGAAGCGTTTTCGGGTTCATCTCCAAGTGCTGGGGGGGCAGCGAGAAAGGACTGCAGAAAATCCGCTCTCCGTTTGGGGCATCGTTCGGGTCCCGAAGTTTGAGGCTCGCACGCCACCGCCCAATCGTCTCATCGAGGGGACGGCCTAAAATGAGCGACTCCGGACATCTGCCAAAACTCGGTCCCCCAGCAATTGGTGCCCTTTTACCAACTTTTTGGGGGAGTCCCCTACTACAATAGACTACAGAAAAAGGGTAGCCTTATTCTATCCTCTCTACCGGAGGACCTAGAAGAGTTTTAATTGTCTGGCAGTATATCAATGAGCCACTAAGGTAAGTCAGGCGCTTGGCTGATTTGACACCCTCGTTAGGCGGAAATCGCTGTGGAAGGCGGCCTGGAGCGGTTGGTGCCTTTGCTGTCGGTGAAGGCGGAATTCGTTGGGGGTGGGTGCTTCCATGTTTTTTTTGAGTTGGAACTCCTTTTGGGTTGGTTTTAAAGAGAAACCAAAAGGAAAAGGACCATTTTGAAGGGTGACGCACCCATATGAACTTTGATTGGGGTCCCTTTGGTGAGCATTTGTTGTTCATGGGGGTTTCCGTCCAACCACCCTTTCACAGGGTATTCCCCATTGAAAATCATGTGCCACATGGCAGTGTTTGCTTTTTGACTTTTGGTAGGCCTTGAAGGAAACCAAGAGAACCCCCATTGTGAGACAGAGGCGAACTTTGCACGGGGCAGCGTCCAAGCAATTGTTGGTTGCCTTTGGTTGCCTTTTACAAGGGGGGGGGGCCGCCATGGGTGTAATGTAACCGCATATTGCTACAGTAGCTTGCAACATGTTGGGAATCCGCTGAAACCGCGGCAATTCAGGAAGCCGACGGTACTACGCCCTTCCGTTTGTGTTCTTGCTTCTACGGCATGGCTGATTATTGGTTCATTACATTGTTGATCCGATCGTGAGGCATTGTAAGTACGAGCTTGAGCACGCGTTGCAGCCATGCAACTGTATGTGGCTAGACATACCATTGTTGTCCTTCGTAGGACAGACTCAAATTGCTGAAAGTCAGGGATGCTTGTCGCGGACAAGTTCGTTCGGAACCTGGGGAACACTCTCATGTTCCCGTGTCCTCTTAGGGAAAGAACACGATTTCAACTGCCATACTGCGGATGGACGAAGTCTATTTCGCAGCACCCAACAAAAGACCAAGAAATGTTGCGGCGCAAACGGATGTCGTCCATCCGCAGTGAAAGACGGCTTTCCAAAGGATGGCTCGCACTTTGATGCCCACGCACTGTCGCAGGTGTCTGAGTGCTTGGGTCACTTTGCGCTGCAGGAGTCATACAGGAGCCGGGGCCGTGCATGCAGGTAGGTTAGACCCATTGCAAGTTTGGGGATGGTCCTTACCCAAACCCTACGGGCGACATTCGCCCATGCATTTTGTCTTGGGGATTTTCAATGCGTTGTTGAGTTTTGGACATGTAATGAAATTTGCAAGAACTATTCGCCAAGCGTCACGTTCATGCCTGCGGCGTCAATCCTGGACAACAAGTTGCACATGCCTTTTGGGCTGTGAATTTTATGAGTTGCAACCACCGCGGATGTTCGCCAAAGGGTCCCCATTAAGTTTAGCCATGTTTGGAGTCTAATCAACAGATAATGTGGCCATAAGTGCCACAAGAGCCAAGCAACGGATATGATTCGCCGTTCGCCTTATGCGATTCACCTGTTTGGAGCCTATTTGAATTTCTTCTCTTCATGCAATTTTCAAGAGTCCAATGCTTGAACCCCTGGATAAACCCCACAACCTGGTCTCATAGTTATAGGTTAAAATGAAAAGGGCGCTAAATATGGGTTAAAATTTGGCGGTCGGTGAAACGCACTTGGCACGCAAGTGTGGCTCGATGGAGGCGGTTTGGTATCCGGCCAGAGAAAACTGGCCACTCAGCCATGTGTACATCATTAGCGCTAGCGGGGAACTGCCTTTGGCCTAGCACATGGTGGGATTCGCGTTTGGCAAACGTCTTCAAGGTTTTCGGTGTCAACCTGGGCTGCAAAACTGGGGTTCATACAGGAAACTTGCCACAAAATGTGCCCGAAAACCCCATGAACCCCAAAACACTGTGGCCGAAATCTCCTATGAACCCCAAAATCTGTGGCCGAAAACCCCAATGAACCCCAGCCCGGTGGCTATCTGTGGCTTAAAACCCTATAAAACCCAAGCTTGTGGTTTGAAGACCGCGCGCCCCTTCAAAAGTTGCCAACACCAACTGTGACTTCGCCATTTTTGCAACATTTGAAGGTGCCCGTTCTGACTGGAAGCCGCTCCAGCGATTGATTATCAATCCCAGCGGTGGTTCTGCGAGGCAATCCGCGTTGCAGGAATTGAGCCTTGAGGGGGGCTCTTGCGATGACAAAAGTGAGCTTCGGAATCAATCAAATCACGTCTTTCTCTGTATTATGAGGGGTCCTTGTAAAATGGCCTTTGGAGACAGAAATCGGCGAAATCAAAGGTAAGCCTCAACCAGGCCTTAATTAAGGCCTAGCCAACGATGAACATTCCAGGGGTGTACCCAGGGGTTCAAACATAGTCCTTTTGAAATTTAGGGCGCCAATTTCGGAGATATGCAATACACGGACCCCTGCACATCTCCAGTTCAACCAAGTATGGTTTTTGGTGGCTGAAGTTGTTTTTTGGGGGGTGCCCATAAACCAGAAGGTACCATGAAGTTCAGGACGTTTGCTGGTGGAAACAGCAGGGTCTCCTAGCTGCAAAATCTGAGCCCATCAAAACCCGGGCAAGTGAAGGCTGCAGCTCGATTTTTGCTCATGGTGCTGGGGTCTCCTGTACAAATCTCACAATACTAATGGTTTACCCCTATGACTGAATGGTCGTCTTTGTTGAGGGTACCTCTGTTTGCATGGGATTCAAGGGAAACCAAAAGGAAAACCACCAACATTGAGCGTGCCTTTAAAACAAAGAGACACACACTTGTGATTTTCAAGTATCCCACAACTCCCACAACCTCTAATGTTTGCCCTGATTAGTAAACACCCACCCCAGGTCTAGAAAGACTTGGGTCTATCTCAAAATAGGGAGCTGCCTTATGTATAGTCCGCTATGTTAAGCTCAAAAGCAAAAACATGCTTAAATACAGGGTTGGGGTACTTTGAATAAGGAAACCAAAAGCCAACCCACCGTTTCACTGCAATTTTTTGGTTTGGAGGGTTCTTTGGTTCTGTTCATTTTTAGGTTCAGGAGCTGCAAAAACAAAGCAGCCATTTTTTTTGCAAGCCCAGACCAAGTGTGGTGAAGATTTGGGTGTGTCGTTTTTGCTGGGCTGTCCGTTTTCTGATCAGCTAAAAAAATCCGCAGAAAGGTTACATGAAGAAAAGCAAACCCGCCGGTTTCGGGGCTCAACGGTTTGAAGGAAGCCGAAAGCAAACCCACCAGTTTTGCAGGACACCCATTTTGAGAGGCCCATATGGGTATGGGTCAAAATTACACCACCAGGGGACCACAGGTTTTAGTCATGGTTTCCATTCACCAGGGTGCCATTTTGTGTACCTTTTTTGACCCACAGCCATATGGAACCAGCAACTCATGGCCCATATTTTGAGACACACAGTCACTGGGTTTATCGGAGGGCACCGCTGGCCATCCGCTGGCTGCATCCGCTGGCCCCGTAGGATACGGCTGCGGCGCCTGGGTGCGGTGCCGCGCCTGGTGAAGCTGCTGGAGTGCGGAGACCCAGATTTCTGCTGCCACCATTGAAACAAAGGGAATACAACTTTGACGCATTTTGCCAAGGGCTGTTAGGACTTGAACTTTTTGCCAACTAATGGGTTTTCCACTAAACCACTAAAAGTTAAACTTTTAGCAGGGGAGCAGAAAGCAACCGAGGTAACCACCATTCACGGTCGTTGTTGGGAAACATTTTTCCCCATTTTTGAGCTTATTGTGGTTTAGTGGTTGAAATCCCCAAATAGCTGATTGAAACAAAGGGAAACAAAGGGCTTTCGTTTTGAGGGTCAAAGTTGATCAGAGGTGACCTCGGAGTTCACTCCAGTGGGCTCTTCATGGTCGTTGTTGGGAAACATTTTTCCCCATTTTTGAGCTTATTGTGGTCTAGTGGTTGAAATCCCCACTTACCTGCTAAGATTTAAAATTTTGCTCCCCTTCCAACGTCAACCAAGCATTTGCCGTTCAGGATTGTCATCCAAATTGGGTCCTTGCCATTCTTCCGGGGGGTTGAACGCTAGGGCAGTCATTTGTCACTGGATTTGAACCTCTGGCTCTTGTAGAGGGTGGGAAGCTACCCCCCTAGCCCCAGACTCCAAACCACTAATCCAAAGCACAAAATTTGGGAAGCTGAATATCATCCTTGCTTTGGGTCAGAAAGATTTGGTCTCATCGTTTTCCGTATGGAATCAGATTGGCCAACCCCGCACTTCGGTCTGTGTCAAGGAAGTCGGAACCCCCCAAAATGGGAACGGCTTCCTATTGGTTCCCTGAAACACACCGAATCCATGGTTTGACGCCTTTGAGTCTCAGTATGGGAACCCAGCCTTCAAAGACAGCTCCAATTCTTGTGACAAAAAGGGGTCCATACAATCAGCCTGCAAATATTGAAGAACAAACTTTTGTTTATCATTTTGATCATACCTCTTCCTCCTGTAAAACAACCTCAGAAGGATTTCCTCAACAGATGTGTGTGCATAATATATATATATATATATGTCTATATGATAGGATCCCCCCAAATACCAGGTTTTCCTATATATCTATATACATGGTATACATATGAATATATGTATATATATATATGTATCTATATATATATATATACAGGTCTTCTTGAACACGACACACCCATTCCAGTTCCCCAGGTGCCAAGCCATTGGGCCTGCGGCGGCAGCTCGGTCCGTGTGTCAGGGCTGGTCTTTTTCTCGCTGCTTGGATGGCTTAGGAACCTTAAGAGTTGGAACCTGAAAAGTGGTTGGTGGACATGGATCGGGACCCAAATGTCCACCAAAGGGTGCCCAATTGAAATGAGAACGATAGGCGGTTGGAATCAGTTGGACTGACCCCGAAAAAGAATAAAAGCCATCTATCCCAGAAAGGTGTAGAGGAATGATGTGGATGCGGAAGTGTGTGAAGGGTTGAAATCTTGCATCATTGAGTGTTTTCTGTTCATTCCCAGAACCGCACCCCAAGAAACCCCATCCGTCCGTCCGATTTGGTTTCATTCCCTTCCCCAGAATTAGCTCCCCTTTTTGCTTTTTTGCTTTTTTGGGGTCCCTTTGTTTTCCACCAGCCAGGCAAACAATATATTTTTTGCTGGGGTCCTAATTCCAGCCAAGTTCCCAAAACCCGGTTTCTCGTCTCGTCAGGACTTCTCACAGGCTCCGGAGGGCGCGGATCTCTTCAAGCGTTTTGCTCATGTTTTTGGGGTCTCCTGCAAGGCGTGCGCTACGTACAATTCGTTCACCCGTCTCATGACTACATGTGGGCTGGTCTTTTGTTGATGGTACGGTCTTTTGTTGATGGTTCCAGGGAAACAAAAGGAAACCACCTAATCTAAGGGTCCCCTATTGTTTTAAAGACAAACCCACATATTGATGATTGAACCCAGATTTGTCTGCTTGCTGTACACCTGTATGTCCTGGCTGCAATGTGTGAAGGAACGAATTCAGCATGTTTTGTTAAGAGGCAGGTGCAGATTTGGAAGACTCACGTCGGGTTTTAGTCCGCAGCCTGCATTTCGGAGTTCCTTTCTTCCCTTCGGGCTGAACCCATCTTCTCCTTATGGAGCTGCGTGGGGGGCGGGAATAGGAGCTACGTTTGGCTCCCTCCCTACTGGCGCTCCCTCCCCACTGAAGCCCTTTGCAGTGTCCGTCATCTTTCCTGTTGACCAGCCACTTGCCAAGTTCAGGGAGGGCCCGAAGCCCATTTACTTTCTGAAGAATTTGATCGGTCAGTATGGGGTTTTACATCCATTGCATCCGCAGTGTGGCTGTTCAAGCGTGAAATGTGCGAGCAGCGCACTTGGACGGTTTGTTGTTTCCTTTTGGGCCCCAAACCGGTAACCCTTGAATCTATAGGTTATCAGCCGTAGGCCCCTAGCTCTAAGCAATGGACGGTTCCCTTGTGCCAGTTGATGGATCCAACATGCCTGTGGATGCTGCCGGAGCTAGCTCCGACAACGCCACCGGCGGCGGTGTGCGAATGTTCGCATCAAGCGCTAATGCGCAGTACAACCGCACCCTGATGAATTCCCTTCAACTGTACAATACCGCAATCTTTGCTTTTGGGAATGATGCAGCCATTAGGTCTGAAGCCGAAGCCCTGCATCAAGCAGCTGTCACGCATTTGCAAGCGGAAAACCGTGAGGAGCTCCGTGTCGCACAGAATCAGCTGCATGCACACTATGCTGAATGTGTGCAAGCCCAGTCGCATAGAATTCGTGAATACGAACAGCGAGTGAGCGATGAGTTCATTCAAGAAGTGAACTTCGCTGAAGCTAGGATAAGCCAAGTGTGTGAGGAAAATGCCCAAGCATTGCATGAAGCGGAAATGGGACACAAAACAACTGAGTTTAGGCAAGCCATCGAATCCACCCTGGCGGAAGCCCAGCAGCTCCTTCATGAGCAAGCTGCCAAGCACGCCGATGACACAGCCCGTGTTGAAGCGAAAAACGCCAGGACGATTGACATGATGGCCCACCAAAACGGGCTTCTGCAGGACGAGCTCGATGAGCTGAAGAGGTATCAGAAGCAACACGACCTCCGCGAGGATGGATCGAAGCCCAAAGGGGTAGGTGATACCCGAGAGGATTCACCAGAGTTGATGACCGACGACATGAAGTCAGCTCGGTCCCAAAGGTCAATGTTGGACCCGTTGTCCCATCCGTTTCAATATGCAAAGGAAAAGTTGAGGTCGCTTGTTACCTATGACGGTTACGGGGTTGAATATACCCCTAGCGTGATTCCAACTGCCGAATGCGATGCACTGCCCGCAGATGCTCGCGATCCGCAAGGACCAGCTGAAAAGCCATCAGGTAGCAGCCGATCCCCGGTGAAAACAAGTGCACCGGTCCCACCCCTGCAATTCTCTCAGGGGCCAATGTCAACTGACCGCAAGCAGGGTGGTAAGCCTCCCGGCGGTCCGCCACCTGATGATGATGGCGATGGCGATGGTGATGAAGACGAAGGTGATGGCCTCGGGCCTAACCTCGGCCAAGAAGCATTCGCCAAAATGTTGATGAAGTTAGTAAAAGGCCACACGAACGATGAAAAGCCCAGAACCCGCGAAAGCGAGACGTTGCGATTCAAGGAGATGCCAACTCCTGAAACGTACCGTGAATGGAAGACATCGGTTCGTGAGGACGTCCGCGCTGCATCTGACCGTCCAGACGAGGCTTGGCCTTGGATCATGGAAGTCTGGTCCGATCGCGAGGACAAGAAGAAGCTGTTGGAGGAGCTCGGCGAACCGGGAAAATTCGTGACCCTAGACACGAAGATTCTCGCAGCGCTCACGCGTTCAGCGAAAGGCGATCTGGCTCAGCGAATCCTAACAGCGAAGGAAGAATGTGCCAAGGAGGGAAAGGCCATGAGAGGAAGGCAGGTCTTGTTTATGTTTGACCAATATTTCAAGACCAGTGAAGAAGCCGGAAACCTCTACTCCTTGGAGGACCTGTTGCGTGTCTCGCGACACGGCGAAGGAATCATTGATCTCAAACGTTTCCTAAACGCTTGGGATTCCGTGATCGCCGGCATGAAAAGGCCGCCGGAAGAAAAGGTGTTGAAAGACATCTTGCTTCGCCAAGTGAGAAGCTGCCATCTGTTGCGGTACGACATTGACACATATGATCGTTGCCGTGATGATGATCCCAACAAATCGTACGATTTTCTAATGCGTTGCATGAGGGATCTAATCGAGAGGGATAGGCTACGCGAGAACCGAGAGCGCGTGTCCAAAGTCAATGCTAGTAAAGCCCCGACGCCCAAGGCTGGTGCCGCCGCCCCTGAAAAGAGGGACCCCAAGAAAAAGAGCGCACCTAAACCGAAGGACACCGAGGAAAAGTACTGCTTTGACTTCCAGAAGGGCTCGTGCACGAGGGGGGCAAACTGCCCTTACGCGCACCGCAAGGAGCCGCGAGGACGCTCCGCGACCCGTGGCAGGCCAAGTTCCCCCAAAGGCAGTAAAGGAGAGAAAGCACCGTGTTCTTTCTTCGCCCAAGGGAAGTGCACTAGAGGTGACAAATGCAAGTTTAGCCATGCCTCCACGGGCGGCAAATCTGCCGCTGCGGCATCGAGCAACGAGGCCAACGCAACTCCTGCGGCCAAGAAGCGTGCAAATTCGCCTAAGCCTAAGCCCAAGGCCAAAGCCGCCGCAGTATGCGCTAGGTACGCCATGTTTGCCAAGCCGATCAATCCAATTGGGGTGTCGTTTGACACCAATGCTCATGTGCATGAGATCCCCGCCGAAGGCGATGGTTTCAAGCTTGAGTACGAGGAACGGCAGTATAACAGGATGTTTCCAAGTGCCAAGGACTGCCCCAGGCCGACCAAAGGAACGAACAAGGCAGCACGCAAGGCCGCGAACCAGTTGAATGCCGTAATCAAAGCCATTGAGAATGGAGCCCAGCCCGCTTGTGGTTTCAAGTGTGATGTGGAATCCGATTCCATCTCAAGCCTGTCGTGTGATGAGTGCCTGAGAATTGCCATGCCGCCTCACGATGTCCGCAAGGATGTCGAAGCGCCAAGGGCAGCCACCCCTGCACCAAAGGGAAAGGATGTGTGGCTTATTGATTCCGGTAGTGAGCAGGACCTCATCAGCAAAGCTGCACTGAGGAATGCGTCCAAGGCAATTCGGAAACAGGCTCCTCAGCCTATTCGCCTTGTGACTGCAAACGGAAACATCACTGCTTCCGAAATCGCCGACATCAATGTCGATGCATTGTGTGAGCCTGCTCAGCCTTACATCCTCGAGAGTTCTCCTGCAGTGCTGTCGCTGGGTGTGAAGTGTCTGGATCAAGGATATTCCTTCCATTGGGAATCCGGGAAGGCGCCAACCATGGTTCGCCCTGATGGTGCTCTGATCCAGCTCAAGGTTGACGGTCATGTGCCATACATGGATTCTAGCTGTGAAGCCGAGCCATTGTTGAGTGCAGTAGCAGCATCCAAGCCAGCGCCTGCACCGGTTCATGACGAAGGCATCGACGAAGGCGATGACCCCGACGACGAAGTTGAGCGGTTTGTGAGATCCCGCAAAGAGCAAGATTTGGTTGCCGAAGCGAGTACCAAAGAGCACTTGTTTGCACACTATCCGAAGAATCCCTTTTGCCGCACTTGCCAACGTGCCAAGATGCTTGCCCCATATGCAAGATCGAAGGGCGGGCAGGGAAGGCTCGAGACGAAAGCGTTTGGAGATCACATCATTGCCGATCATGTGATTCTCAAGACCAACATCGAGCAAGGTATCAAAGGTGAATGGTGTGCCCTTGTGATCAAGGACGTGCATACGCAGTTCAGGTACGTTTACCCGTCGACCAGCAAAAGCACGGAGCAATCCGTTGCAGGGATCCAGCATTTCATTTCCGGTAGGGATGAGGTTGCCGATAACTCCCGAGAATTGAAAGCCGCAATAGAGCAGTTGGGGTACCGTCATCAGACCTCCATTGAATATGTTGATTCTTCCAAATCTTTCGTGGAAAGGGAAATCAGACATCTGTTGGAGGGAGCACGTGCGAATCTTGTTCAGTCAGGATTCCCACTGTCGATGTGGCCATTTGCCATCCAGCACAATGCAGTTGCGACCAACATCCTGCCACAGTTGAACGGTAACGATTCGCCATGGTACCTCAGGTTTCACAAGACCTTTGATGAAGCTGAGATACCTTTCGGAGCAAA